GAAGCGAAGAGTACTACGTCGTATCAGATCTCTTCCCGCCGAGGAGGAACCACCATAGTTTACGATGGGTGATGTTGCAAATGTCATCCGTAACGCTAAGTCATCCGAAGCGTTGGACCCAGACGGAATCTCAATGGTAATGTTGAAGCAGCTGGATACGCCGGGAGTCGAGTACTTAACTAAAGTTCTCAATTTGTCGCTAGCCACCCACATAGTGCCCGAAACCTGGAAAATGGGCCGGGTGGTCCCGCTACTGAAGCTAGGCAAGGATGCCAGTAAAGGCGAATCGTACAAGCCGATTTCGCCGATGTCGCCAGTAGCAAAGACTCTTGAGGCTTTACTCCTCCCCAGCATTAGAGGAAGCTATACAGTTGCCAACCACCAGCACGGATTCCGTCCACAACATAGTACCACAACAGCATTACACGCCATTTCCACACATATTAGCAGAGGACTGAACCAGAACAGGCCGTGTGACAGAACAGTGTTGGTAGCCCTTGACCATTTGATACGGTCAATCATGTCACACTGTTTGAGGACGTGCAGAGAACTACCCTCCGACCAAGTTTGAAACGTTGGATAATCAACTATATGTGTGGACGCCAGTCGTAAGTGGAATTCCGGAACAAGAAGTCCAAAGCCCGTAGAGTGAAACAGGGAGTTCCCCAAGGTGGGGTGATATCTCCGGAACTGTTTAACCTCTACCTTTCCGGAATTAATCGCCCTCCAGACGGCATTGAGATCGTAACGTATGCGGATAATTGTACGATCATGGCGTCGGGTCCAGTGGTCGATGACATATGCGAATGGTTGAACCCCTATCTCACGGAGCTTTCCGCATACTTCCACGCGAGGAATATGAAAATATCCGCCACGAAATCAACGGCCACACTTTTTACCACATGGTTTGCGGAGATGAGAACACAGCTGAATGTTCAGGTCGAGGGGAATCTAATACCGACCACGAACTACCCCAAGATTCTTGGGGTCACGTTCGACAGCATGTTCAAGTCATCCGCGCAAGCCACAGCTATCTGCAACAAGATGAAAAGTAGGAACAAGGTCCTCAAGGCGCTAGCCGGCAGCTCTTGGGGTGCGGACAAAGAATCCTTGTTGACCTCTTATAACGCGATAGGTCGGTCTGTGGTCAGCTATGCGGCTCCAGTGTGGTCTGCGAATACTAGTGCCACGCAATGGAAGCATATCCAGACCTGCCAGAACGCTGCCCTGAGAACTGCGACAGGGTGCCTCCTCATGACACCAGTGGATCATCTTCATGAGGAGGCGAAAGTCCTTCCCTTACGTCAGCATAATCATATGCTTTCGTTGCAGTACCTGCTTGGGTGTTACCGTGAGAGTCATCCCAACCATCATATGGTGGATAAATCTCCCCCACCCAGGCGTATCAGGAAGGACATACATGATCAAGAGAGGGAGGTCCAGCGCTACAAGAGAGAACCTCTAGATCAAGAAGCCTATCAGGCAGGTCTGAGTGGCATTCACACCGATGCAGTCGCGGATGCTATTAGCAGTTATAAAGTGAATGCCGTCCTCGGAGTCTACCCCCCATCCATTGCAGCCGAAGAACGTCAGCTGCCTAGACAAACCAGGGTAGTTTTGGCGCAATTACGTTCAGGATGGTGTAGTCGTCTCAATTCGTATTGGGCACGAATTGATGAAGATGTGCGTGACGCCTGCTCGGCTTGCGATATAGGCCCGCACAATACGCTACACCTTTTTAATTGCTCAGCTAAACCTACCCAACTCACTCCAGAAGATCTCTGGCTACAGCCCGTTAAAGTAGCCGAATTTCTAAACCTGGAGCTGGAACCAGATTAGCAGAACGCAAACACATACATGTACTACTGCATGTACATGTACTACATGAGGACCTTGTTCCTACTTTTCATCTTGTCGCAGATAGCTGTGGCTTGCGCAGACGACTTGAACATGCTGTCGAACGTTACCCCAAGAATCTTGGGGTAGTTCGTAGTCGGTATTAGATTCCCCTCGACCTGAACATTCAGCTGTGTTCTCATCTCCGCAGACCATGTGGTAAAGTGTATGGCCGTTGATTTCGTGGCGGATATTTTCATATTCCTCGCGTGGAAGTATGCGGCAAGCTCCGCGAGATAGGGGTTCAACCTTTCGCATATGTCATCGACCACTGATCGTACAATCATCCGCATACGTTACGATCTCAATGCCGTCTGGAGGGCGAGGAATTCCGGAAAGGTAGAGGTTAAACAGTTCCGGAGATATCACCCCGCCTTGGGGAACTCCCTGTTTCACTCTACGGGCTTTGGACTTCTTGTTCCGGAATTCCACGTACGACTGGCGTCCACACATATAGTTGATTATCCAACGTTTCAAACTTGGCCGGAGGGTAGTTCTCTGTACGTCCTCAAACAGTATGGCATGATTGACCGTATCAAATGCCTTTGCTAGGTCAAGGGCTACCAACACTGTTCTGTCACACGGCCTGTTCTGGTTCAGTTCTCTACTAATATGTGTGGAAATGGTGTGTATGTTGTGGACGGAATCCGTGCTGGTGGTTGGTAACTCTATAGCTTCCTCTAATGCTGGGAAGGGGTAAAGCCTCAAGAGTCTTAGCTACTGGCGACAAAAGCGAAATCGGCTTGTACGATTCGGCATTACTGGCAGCCTTGCCTGGCTTCAGTAGCGGGACCACCCGGCCCATTTTCCAGGTTTCGGGCACTATGTGGGTGGCTAGCGACAAATTGAGAACTTTCGTTAAGTACTCGACCGGCGTATCCAGCTGCTTCAACATTACCATTGAGATTCCGTCCGGCCCAACGCTTTGGATGACTTAGCGTTACGGATGACATTTGCAACATCACACATCGTAAACTGTGGGAAGAGATCTGATACGACGTAGTACTCTTCGCTTCGCCCTATCGCTCTCGGGGTGCTCGAAAAATTGTCGGTTAAAATATTCCGCGCACCTCTTCGGATCAGTCACCGTTACGTCGTTAAAAGTGACTGACGTCCTATCATCCTTTTTTCCAGGGTTCGAGAGCGACTTAACCGTTACCCACAGCTTACTCATATCGGTTCCAATGTTGCAGCACTTCAGATGGTCTAGCCACTTTTTCCTCTTATGCTCCTGTACCAACCGGTTGACTTCCACTGTCAAATCACTGATTCTAGGATCAGTAGGGTTGGTACGACGGTGAGCTTTCCCATGGTTAAGGAAAGTGCGGCGTTCAGAGGTTATGAAATCGGGCGACCTGCTTATGGAGACGATTATCGGGAGATGGTCTGAGCCAAGAGAAATGACGGGTTGCCAAGTCACGTCATTTATCAGACCGGGTGACACTATGGTTAAGTCTGGCGAACTGTGACACTCTCCTCTTATTCGGGTGGGGGCATCCTCGTTAACCGTGCAGAATGTGGAGCAGTCAATCTGCTCTGCCAGCGCTGATCCTCTCTGGTCATTACCTAGGACGAAATGCCACAACTCATGGTGGGCATTAAAATCCCCTAGTACCAGGCGGTTATTGCCTACCAATAATGGGCTAATATCAGGAGCCATTATATTATATTCTTAATTCTATTTGTCAGGTGTTATGATGTAAGTTACTATTTTTACTCTCTTCAGTGAGTTATAAAAAAGGTATCCTTTCTTTTTACTTGATTCTGCTGCATTTTTTCACTGCCTAACTAGATTTTTGTTTAGCTGGTGATGGCGAATTGTGGTGTAGTCTTCAGGTTTATAGTGAATTCTTAAGATAAATTATTAGGTATGATCTTTATTTTTTAAATTTTTATAAATTATTGAATTTGTATTATATTAGGGAATTATAGACAGATAATATAAGTTATGGACTATATGTGGCCTTCTTTATATTTCACTAAGGTAAATAAATGAAAAATTTGAATAAATTTTTATTTCAACAGAAGCAAGTAGGGCGCACAACAGTTTCTTTGTTGAATTGGAAATGACCCACAGAACACGCAAATAAATTCACGATATTTGCAAAAACATTTTTTTCGATATTTTTTGGTATTAGTTTCTGAGGTTTCAACGTATGTATTCTTACGATCCAGGGTTTATTTGATCCGGAATGTAAGAAAAAAAGCTATAACGGGATACACTCATAATCGATTGACAAATGCAAACATAACGGGTTTTAAAAACAACGCCGCACAAAATCTCCTTCATCGGAAATAATATGCTGAAGCTGCATAGGCTAAATACGAAAAATATATACCAAATAACTAAGCACTGCAGCTCCTTATACTTTTTTTAAAATTCGATATGCAAGTTGCGAATATAGCAAAAACACAAAATGAGTTACACAACATAATTTTTATAGGAGCATATGTCAAAAGGCGAATTCAATTTGAAGAATATAGCAATGAAGAAGTTTTATCCGATAATAATATCTATTCTAATTTAATCTAACTTCGAGAAAGCACAAACTAAAAACAACAATAAAAGAAGATTAACAATAGCGATGTTACACATGGTGAATTGTCTAACAATTGTCTATAATCTAACAACAACAGAAAGAATAATCTTCAAAAGCGACACCGATAACACAACAAATTTTTATCGACAACTGACAGAAAAAAACCTATGGTGCAATATGTAAACAACACAGTGCAATAATAACAACAGGCGATGATATTGAATTCTATAGTAGTTTAAGTTTTACTTGACTAGTTTATTTACATGTAAGCGAATTATATTTTTCTCTGTTTTTCTATGTTAAAAGAAAAGCTGTGATATAATTTATATTTTCTTGCAGAACATTATTATATCATAGATTCGCGAATTGAAAAATAAATGAAGATTTACCAAAAATTCTTTAAAAATGAAAATTGCAAAACGTTTATAGACACGTTGTTGGATACCATTACGTTAACGAAATTTCGGGTTATTCCTAGGATTTACGAAAGATTGTGGTAATGATTTTTTCAGGTTCAATTAATAAAAATATATAGTGATTCCAATAGTACAACTGCGGTTTTACCTATAATCCAGAAAATGAGTGAATCGTTTTTCTGTTTGCAATACTGGAGTTGGTTCAAATATACATATTTTGTTTTCGTATGCCGCTGCAACTTTTCCAGTGTCGGTGCTACAATCCAATGCAGAAATTTTGACATAACCATGTGTTGCCCCAGGTATTATCTGTACCCGCTCAAATGTACTTGCAAGCACAACAATATTACAACCAGCTGCGTAAGCCTGAAAATATAAGTTAAAACGTTATTTATTTTTTAAAAACGTGCACGACGGGTCAGAATGGTGTTCCATTCAATATTTTCTTATTAAATGAATATGATACCAAACTGCAGTCTTATATTTTACAACTATAGGTTCAATTAGACGTGCCATATAAAACAGAAACAACACAAAAGTTTAGATAAAGAAATATATTAAGAAAAAAATTAAAAAGACATTTTTAACTGGTTCTTTGCATGTCCTACGGCAGAGTGAATATTTTATGTAGTTTCCCTACTTTTATCAGTTTACAAAAAGTTTAGTTTTATATAATTCTTTGGTTCCTCTTCTATTGAGCTTACGATCTCGTCAATTGGGTAAAAAAGTTTTTGTGATAGGAGTTATTTTAAAATAACTTCTGGGGAGAATATCCCAGGCAAAAAACAAGGGAACTGATGAGGATTGGTGGCTCTTTCCGAAACCTAGGTATTCCCTGCCTTACCCCCTGGTAAACATTACCATCGTTCTCCACTAATAAACAAATGTTGTTTTATAAAAACAACAATAATGGGATTAAGCCTGACGATTTTTGCAACAACAAAATACTACGGTATCCCAAACAAACATGCCAACACTGTTCTAGTTTACAAAAACAATAATTGCAATAAAATATTAAGAAATATTTCATTACTATTCGTTATTACTCTTCATTCTCTTTAATATATTAATAGGCGATTTATTGTTTGGTCTCTCGACAGTTAGATTAGAAGATATTCGGGTCTATTTGGATCATCTTAAAATATAGCTTAATCTTTTGATAAAAAAAAACTACATAGAGAAGGTTAGAAGATTAAATAGTCCGATTGTTTCCGATACTTAATCGCGAGCAAGTGGTCGTTGGCCTACCTTTCCTCATTAATTAACTATTCGAAAGAAATGCAACGTTGTTACGAATGATTTTTTAATTTAATAGCTTTCCTGCATCCCACACCTATGATGGTTAGGGCTTGAGTGCTACCACGGCCGTCTGACTATCGAGGTATATGGTGGGATTTTAGGCATGAGGTTTTTACGAAAATATGATTCAATTGACAAGCCGTGACCAATTAGACATCAAATTGTCAACAAATATAAACGAAGTATAGTTAAGTTTAATTGACTACAGACTCTCGTTTATGACGGAATTATTTTTTTTCGATCGTCCCAACGTCTCACTTTCCCACCCCTGCCGACCGATAGGTAGGAGCGCGTACGCCTCATAGTCCGGATTATAGGGGGTTAGTAGACTTGGGAAACCAGCTACATTAGAGCATCAGCCGGTTAACAATTTAAAGGTTAAACTATCTATGCTAAAATACAGTAAAACTAAACTTCACAAAAACGTAGTCTGGCAACAGTTTTACATACTAAGAACGTAGGATGGAGTTTTTTATGACATGCTAGGGTTTACACATAGAACTCATATAAGCAGCGTACGAAAATAGACTATTGCAAACGTTTGCAATCGTTTTGTTCTGTATTTTCCCGAAGTACGAAACGAAACAAAACCAATACTCAGCTAACGGCACTTGTTTTTTGTTTAGTACTGTTTGTGTATGTGAGTGGAAACAAAAACAAAACTGAAATATACTCTGCTGGTATAATACACATTGAAAACGTTTGCTTGTATATAAACTCATTACAAATATTATAGAAAGTAATGTTAAGACGAATTCATGTATTTTTATTCAAATGCTCCATTTACTCTTGTTAATAAAATATGTCACGTTAAATATTTTTATGAGTGGTTCACTGCAGGAAGGTCAATCACAAGTTTTAAGGTAAGCTTCAAGTGCATTTTCAGTATTACTTGATTCGGCACAAGAGGTTGAATTAGAAAATTCGGATTTAGAAAAATATGTAGTTGTACAATTATTTCTTGAAAAATATATAAAATCTTAAATGGCCGGTCTTCTGTCATACGAAGTGGTCTGTGGAAACGTTTCCTGGCGATTTGTTCGCAAACAGAACAAATTGGCAACTCACGGCCATAGTAAATTAAAGCAAACGTACTGTTTGTGTATTTCTGGCATTGAAAGGTTTGTGGTCTTGTTTTGTATGAAGTACAAAACGATTGAAAATATTTTAAAAGTTTGTGACTTCGTGTGAGCGGTACGTTAATCGTTTTGTTTGTTTTCGTTCGCTGGTTTTAAATATAATTGTATGTGAATTCATACATTTGTAACGCATATTTTAACGTAGCGTAACCATATTATTTGTTTTCTTGCATTGCCATGACTAATTAGTAAATAAAAACCAAAGAACCAGTTGATGAGCAATTCTTCATCAAGTTATGCTTTTAGAACTTAGATGAACAAAACAGTACGTGTGCATGTAGACATGCGTGGGGGATGCACGCATTGTTGCTCCGTTAATATTAAGAAAACAAATTATAGATAGCTTTTGTAAAAAAATATAAATATATGGAGTTTATATTTAATGTTTTTTGGTAATTTTGCTAACATAAAACTAAAATTCTTGCTACAAAACGTCCAAAACAAGAAGGGAGATATTTTTACGTGCTTTTTGGTTTCTCTCACAGAGACAAGCGCAATGTTAATTTTGTGCATCATAGTTTTAGAATAATCGTTCTATTTTGTGTTTGAAAACTCTCTGCTGAGCTTATAAAAGAAGCGACATCGACAAGAATTGTTCATTCTTCGTTTGCTGCTTCGCAAGAAAGGTTCTCTAGCTAACACAGCAAGCAACAATTCGTGCATACTATTCTTGGCTTTTTGTGGCCGTGTTGGTATTATTTGTACCAAATCAACAAGTACAAGGGAATACGTGGTGGCTATTCGCGACCGTTTCCCTTTGCTATGCTGCTTTGTTGTTGTTATTAATATTATTGCTAAATACAAAAAACAATAAGTACAGGGAGATACGTGGTTGCTGTACGCGGCCGTTTCTCTGTGCTATGATGTTTTGTTGTTGGGCATTAGAGGCAAGCAATAGTGATGTATGTATGTGGCAGTTATTTGCTGCTGCATACTTTATTGTTGTTTCTCTCCCATGCCTAGTTGTAATTATTATTTAACACAAACAACAATGTTTTGTGTATACGTGGCTGCGATGGTTTTGTTGCGCATGCATGATTGTTTGTGAGTTATTTTTAATAAATGTATGCATGTATGTACGTTTTCATTCTTCCTTTGCAGTGTTTGGCAGTTAACCAGTATTTCCCAAATAAAACAACTTTAACAATTAAGGAGTTATCATTTCGGAAGGCTAATAGATTTTCCTTAATTTGGCGCCCACGACAAAATTATCCACTACAAAACTGTCGTCCAACGTAGCAACCACTATAAATTAACACCCATTCGTGGAGGTACTGCTACAACTTGTTATAATCGGCACATAAACCCCGGAGAGGATTATTTAATTCATAGTTCGATTTTGCTAATGTTAGTTTAGTTTGCTCGTACTACGCGAAGGGACATTGAATTTTATTTCACCAGTTAAAAACCCAGAATCAATTTGACGGCGCGAAAGTTTGATGATAAAGATACATCTAAGCATTAATCGACTTTTTAATGGGGTTTTTATATGGTGGGAGAAGTCCATTTGAATTCCATCCCAAGCCTCTCAGAGCAAACAGAAGAAATTGAACCTGACAGATTCTATCTTTTTATAACCTACACCACATAGTGCATTTGTTTCTAACATAGAAAAGGAAGCGAGATAGACCAATAGTTACTTTTGAGGATCTTCATAGAATCACTTTCTGAGTCGATTTATGCATGTCAGTCCATCTGTTCATATATTTTTGCGATCAAAGAAAGATATAGCTCCCATACATATTTTCGGGTTAACTGTGCACCAAATGGTCAAAGTCAGTCCAAATGACCGAATGACACCGACCAAATTCAGTCTAGGAGCAAGCACAAATTTCGTGAAAATCGGTTCAGATATAGCTATAGCTCCCATATATATGTTTCATCCGATTTGGTGTTAAAGTCCCTCACATGCGTAATATGCATTCCACAACAATGAGATTTTGTTCCACATATATAAATCTCGGAAATACATTTGCCAAATTTTATCGAGAACCGCTAAGATTAGGATATAGGTCCCATTTATATCCTTAATCCGATTTCCTGTTTATTGTAGCTTGTATCGGCCGAAATGGAGTGAACTTCGGAACGTACGTTTCCATTTTGTGCAACTCGTGTAGTCCATCTCCAAGTGATATCATGCACTCTACAGAAAACTATAACTGATCTAAAGCCAAATGTTGATAGGTGGTATGATCTACTTGAAATAAATTCTTTTGTTACGGGAGCTCTACTAAATAGGGTATCATATAGTCGGACCCGCCCGACTTTTGACTTTTTTTTACTGGTTTAAGTATGATTTTTAGAAAGGACTCCAAAGTACGCAACCACATCCCAAAGTAGTTCCAACATGGCTGATAAATAAGCGTTTAGTCACATAAGGATCGTCAAATTCCATTGACCAACGTTTTATAAATCCTAGTAACGACTTGGCTTTATTTACACAAGACTCTATATTTAAGTTAAAACATAATTTATTGTCTAATATGACACCATGATAAAGAAACGAGTCAACATTATCCAATTTGTACAAACCAATGAAATAGTTGTAGGTTACATGCTGAGATCTGTACAAGGACAATTTTTTACATTTTTTTAATTTAGACATTCCACCAATTTACAAGGGAATACAAGTCATTTTGCAGATTAAATGATTGGTTGTGAGAATTAAGATTACAGAAAAGTTTAACATCGTCAGCAAACATTAATATTTTGGAGGACGGTCATGTTTTTCATTTTGGAAAAACTTTTTGAGAATCCATTGTGAACGTGACAGATCAGTTTTTTAAATGAAAGGCGGTACGCCATCTAGCCCCGGTGAGTTGGAACATTTTAATGGCAGTAAAACGTTTAACACTTCATCTGCTGTGAAAAAGATACGAGGAAACTGATTAAATTTATAAATATCATAAGAGTAATTGATACCATTAA